TACGCGGGCTGCCGTGGGTTCAATTGACCGCGTAAAGCGAGGTTTTACTGTATCCTGTAGACACTGTAATGAAAGTCACACGGGTTATTTTAATATTTGTTTTACTAATTTGGTACAGTATAGCTTTTTCTAAAATCATAAAACTTTGTTAATTCTGCCTCAACAAAAAATATCCAGTTATCCCAAAATATAAAATTTATTTAATGGGCCTTTAGTATACAGTACATTTAATTTTCATTATTGATCCTACAGTCTCATATGGCCTAGGATGCTACTACTCTCCTTGCCCTTTGAGTAGCACCTTTCAGATCACTGATTTGGAATTTGAGGTCATATTTCAGGTAAAAAAATTAATTTTGTAAAGCTACTACAATTTTGTTGAGAGCAGCATCGCAAGGGTGTTTACAAGACAAAAATCGCTGAGAAAGAGCAAGTGAGTGCGATAAGGGCAGGGGGACACTGTTGGCTGGTGACAGTACCCTGGCTGCCCTATGTTAAACTGGATACCATGGGTGGTAAAACATTAAATGATACAATACAGTACAGGGTATTCTATGTTTGTCTTTGATACCCCCAAAATGTTCCACACTACTGAGGGTATACACAAACACTTGTTATCTTGAAAATAGGTTCTTATTCTCGTACTGGAGATATACAGAGGGACAAAGAAACTGGCTTCCACACCATAAGGACTAGTGATCTCAACTCTCTGTATCACTCTGCACTGGCATGTACAGATGCCAGCATTCACAAGCTGAATACATAATATGTAAATATGATAATTCACATACATAACATGGTGCATAATAAATGGAAATATTACATAGGATTAATACATGTTCTGTAATACTTTACTATACATAATTAATAGAGTAATATAAGAATACACAGCTTAAGGTACTACTTCGTGTCCATATTATACACCTCCCTCCCCCCTATACGCTCATAGTTTCATCTTGAGCGGACCTTTTGTTTCTGGGTCGCTCAGACCTGCGGAGTACCAGGGCAGAAACACAGGGTGGGAATGGATTTACTGTAAAGACATCAGCATTAGGGTACTCTACTGGGGAAGGGTCAACACTTGGCAGCTCCACAGGTCAGGGGAAACAACGGTTCCTCCACCATACTCTACCACTAGGAAGACGCACTTGGTAGTCCCTGGACCGGCCAATACCCATGACAACACCAACCTTGTCCCAGCAGTGAGATACCGGATCTTGAATCCTGACCTGCTGGCCGATACTCAACCTGGGAAGGGGGCGGGCATGACAGTCGTATCGAGCAGCGACATCTGCGGCTCGTTCTGCTGCACGGTGGTCACATTCTTCAGTCTTGGCTTGCCATTCTTGAGAAAAAGACTTCGGATGGGCAGGAACACAAGACCAGAGATGATGTCCTTATAGAACCTGGGCTGGGGAGCGTCCGGTGAAGTTCGGGGTGTTGCGTAACTCTAACAAACCTCGATCGAAATCCTCGCAGTCGATATTTCCTGAGGGTGACACCTTAAGGATCAGGTGTTTAACAGTCTTGACTGTGGCTTCAGCGTGTCCATTCGCCTGGGGGTAGTGGGACGAGGTCATGACATGACGGACTCCCCAACAGTCCATGAAGTTCCGGAACTCGTGGCTGGTGAACTGGGGTCCTCCATCAGTCCTGAGGCGGAGGGGAACACCAACTTCTCTGAAGTAATGCCTGAAATTCCGGATGGTAGCAGTAGCCGTTGTATCACTACCACGGGGGACGACAACAGGCCATCCAGACAATCGGTCGGCAATGACGAGGAAGGACTTCCCTGCCACTGCAAAGAAGTCGGCCGACACAGACTCGAAGGGTCTTGAAGGGTTATCGTCGCACATTAAAGGTTCCTGTTGCTGGCTGGGTTGCAGAATCTGGCACGGCTCCCAGGCACGGACGGTACTTGCAATGTCCGCGTCGATTCCAGGCCAAAATACAGTCTGCTTCGCCCGTTGCTTGGTGGCCTCCACTCCTCGATGGCTGTCGTGAAGGCGGGTCAAGGTACGGCGGCGTAGGGCAGCAGGAATGACTACTCGTGGACCATACAAGACGAGGTCTCCGTCACAATAGAGGTCTTGGCGTATCTTCCAGTACGGGAGTAGCGATTCATGAAGGTTGTATCGGTTAGATGGAAATCCCTGGGACACACAGTCGACGAGCCGGGTGTAGGAAGGGTCGGCTCGGGCTGCGGTGCGGAGATCTTCAAGGGTCTTGTATGCATCCGGTGCTGTAGACTCTTCTGATGTGAAGACGGCCTTCAATGAGACTACTGACTTGAGGGATGCAGCAGCTGCAGAACACAACATCTCGTCCTCTGGGGTGGGGCGACTGACAGGGGCGCGGGACAGAGCATCCGGGATGCACAGCAGCTTACCCGCATGCCACACAGCCGTGAAGAGATAAGGCGAGAGCTTCTCTTTCAAATGTTGAAAGCGAGGATTCTCTACTGCATCCAAAGAGTAGTGATTGATAATAAATACAAGAGGGCGGTGATCCGTGAAGAGGGTGAAGTGCTGAAGTCCTATCAGGTAGAAGCGGCACTTCGCCATCGCCCAGACAACAGCCAACTTCTCCAGCTCAGTCGTGGCATATCGGGTCTCAGCGTCCGTCAGGAACCGGGATCCACACTGAATTAAGCAGAGTTGTCCACCGCCATGGTCCTGCAGAAGGGCGTAACCAACGCCGTAGAGTCTGGAGGCGTCAGTCTGGAGGACGGTGGGTAGGGCTGGGTCGTAACAAGCGAGGACAGGTGGACTTAAGAGGGCCTGCTTGACTCACTGGAAGGCCTCTTGATGATCTGGGGTCCACAGGAATGTCCTCCTGGGGCTCAGCAGGGGGCGTAACGGCTGGGCTGCGGCGGAGATGTCAGGTGAAAATTCAGCCAGCTGATTGACCAGACCCAAAAAAGAACGGAGGTCTGTCAGGTTGGCAGGGGTTGGAAAATCCCTGATTCCACTTAATTTCTCCGGGTCAGCTGCGATACCTGATGCTGAGAGAGTGTACCCACAGAAGTTCACTGATGGTGCGGCGACTACAAACTTGTCAGCGTTGAGGGTAATCCCGTACTTTCGACATCTGGTGAGAACTTCATATATTCGGGAGAGGTGGGCACAGTAGTCTTCGTCATGGAGTAAAATATCATCAACCACCTTGACACAATTCGTGACTCCTTGAAGGGCCGCGTCACCACGTTGACAGAATGCATCGCCTGTAGCGGCAAATCCCATGGGGCCTCTGCAATACTGATATCTTCCATATGGTGTGATGAATGTAGTCAAATGCTGGTCTTCTTCGGCCAACTCGATCTGCCAATAACCACATAAGGCGTCCATCGTTGTAAAAATTCGCCCTCGGGTCCACATTTCGAACAGCTGCGAAGGGTGTGGGTGAAGGGTGGTCTGGACGGGAAACTTGCTGGTTAAGTTTTGACATAACATGGTGCATAATAAATGGAAATATTACATAGGATTAATACATGTTCTGTAATACTTTACTATACATAATTAATAGAGTAATATAAGAATACACAGCTTAAGGTACTACTTCGTGTCCATATTATACAGGTATATAGAATTTGGTACTCTACTCGAAACTACAGATGGTAAGCCAATATTTTGTGAGGGATTACTGTACTGTACAGCAAATTATCTTCACTTGGCAAAGCATCCACTCATAATGAAATATCCATACACAGCAAAATATCTATGAATGGACAGCAAAATAACCATAAGTTTAAAATATTCACACACAACAAATTATCTATGCAAAATAAATATATTTACAATATGATATTCACACACCAAAATATATACAGTACAGTATACTGTACAGTACTGTAATCCCGTGTTTTTTTCGGGAATTACGTTCCTGAAACCCCCGCGAAAAGCCAAAACCGCGAATATTCTTTTAGGAAGCACTTTACCTGTAACCACCAAACAGCTCAGGTAGGTTATGCACTTAACCACGCCATGCTCTCCACTCACGGCCCAGCCCAGTGGTCACACTGATCACTTATGCACTGTACTGGCATTTACTAACATCATTATTTGAAACTACTGTAATATTGTAATATAATAATGGAAAAACGTAAACACAGGTATATACAAAAAAAAATTATTTCCAAGTAAATAAAATTTGATATATTTCACTGAGGTCGGCAATACCCGTATTGCCAGCCTCTCCCTGCTGTCCCGGCGTCTGCCCGCCCTCATGCAGTCACACCAGCCAGTCAGTCCTCTTCCACCCACATTCCTCCATTTGAAGACTTGTATTCTGACAATTGACAAATGAATTGTCAGTCTTCACCACATCTCGAGCCATAGCTCATACCACCTCTCAGCTTATCCAATAAAACTGTTTTTTCCGTTTAGGTCATCACTATTCTTGATCTCTTGGTCACTTTAGTCTTTGTTAGTAATATTTGCCTTTGATGAGGCTGGCTTACATCCCAGAGCCATGTGGAATGCAAGTGGGAGGACAAACAGAAGACGTAATCACAGTAGCGTTCACAGTACGGTAGGCACATACAGTATTAGACTGAAATATATTGAATGAATGGTACTTTATCATATAAAATAGGTATAGAAGGGCAAGGTCGGACAAATTTGGTGTTGTTTGTGTTCGTATATTGCCACTTTTTCTTTAATAAGTAAGTACTGTACAGTAGTTTTAAGTGGGAGAGGAGGGTCATTTAAGGTTATGACTACTTTATGATATCAATCATATGTAAAAAGTATATTAGAGTGGAAAACATAATTTGAAGACCAAAAAAAGTAGATACAGTATGTAATCAAAAGCAAAATATAGTATCTGTATCAGATGGGAGAATAATTTCTAAAGTTGGAGATAAAAAAAATTTTCTGCTACAAGAAAATAGAATTCCTTGAGGGAACAATTAGTTGCTGGAGTAACAATTGATACAATAATCAAGTACAGTATATTACAGTATCAGGTGTAGTAAATAATGAAATGGATGGCATTCACAGCCCTGGTGGTGGTGAATCTACAAGTAGTGGAGGAAGTGACACGGGGTACTCATCACGGTGTTCTACCCCTCCTGGGCCCTCCAGCCTTACTGACCCTAAACAAGGCACCAAGTGAGTGAAAATGTTGTATAAATAGAGCTCATAATACAGTAATAACTTGTATGTAGGTAAAGCTTTATTATAGATTGAGGGGTAAGTGTGTTGGTATAAAGCCACACTTTTATGGGTCTCAGAGTATTGAGGGGAAACTAATATCCGCTGTTTTTTATAATTATCTCATGCCCGGCACTTGATTAAGTTAGTTTATTTTGATTACAGGTATTTGAGGATGGGTTTGCTAAAAAGGAGAAAATCCTTAAGGAATAGAATATGTAATAATTAATTGTTGTTTTGCAGACGTCACCTAGATGTACCTGGTAGAAGGAGCACCAGCAGTAGTAACCGTGAGTCCCGAAGTGGATCCCCCAGTTCCTGCAGTGTCACCTCTCAGGGATCTTACCGCAATCCCCGGCAAAAACGGAGATACAATAACAATTCTGATGGACACAACATCCATCAAAATAATTACACCCATCATCATCCTCACCACCAGGTCCATCACCATCCCCATCACCTATTTAACGTATCCTACAATCATCATCATCACAATCAACATGGGGGCTACATGGGTAATACTGGGAATTTTGCACGGGGAAACAACTACTACTACAGCCACCACTGTCCAGATGTGGCTCAGAGGGACTGTACTAACTATCCCGGACAGAGATACGAAAAAGGGTACAACAATTACAGCTACTACAGGCAATTTGACCATCCTAGGAGGGACTTCAACCAACAAGGCTTCGATGATGGACGCTATGGAAGATACAACCAGGGGAGGGGATATAATAATAGATACAACACAAACCAGTTCAATAACCAGTATGCACCACACGGCAGTGGCAATAACCGGGACCAAAGTAGACGTCTGAATGACCGAGCTGGAACTTTCAGTGATGAGAAGGTTAATGTGAATGCTAAGTGGAAGTGTGAAGTAGTGGAAACTCCAAAGGAACTATTGACCGGATCGGAGTGGGACGGACTTTCACAACAAGTTTGGGATACATTCTCCCAAAGCCAACAGACAAATGAAACTTTCTTCAAGAAGCTCAAGTTGAGAGAAAAGATATCCAGAGTCATACGGGTAAGTACTGCACATTAACCTTATAATGTAGCCAAATCAAATTTACTGTTGCTAAGTAGTTAATGTACCATACTGTGCAATTTATGTAAATTCAGAAGCAAACTCATTGGAAGATGAAGTAGGTTTTGTAATCAGGGTAATTTTGATTACACAGTAAGACTTTTCCACTGAAGATTTGTGTGGATACGAAGTTGTGTATAGCCCACGTTCAGTTTTGACTGATGACATGTGTTAAACAACTACCAATGCTATATTCTTTTGGTAACTGACATTAAGAATGTGGTGTTATCAGATTAGTGATTCTGGACTAAGAGTCTGAAGCAAATAACCTGTTCCCTGCTGGAGACAAGAGTGACCTGGCCATCTTAAGTTTATTGATAGGAATTTAGAAAATAAATAAAAAAACGAAATGAAGTTTCTTAGGTTTATTTTTATGGATCGTTAGATAACTTTTAATAGAGTTTCAAGCTGTTATAACATTTGCATCAGTGAGAGCATTCATGTTTTGCAAGCACAACTTTAGGTTTACCCTCAATATTAATTTCCCTTTAAGATACTTTGCTCAATTTTACATGAGTACGGTATTATGAAATTTCACAAAGTTTGGGAAGGCTGCAAACTTTGAAATTAACCTGATCCAGGACCTTTAATTAGTCTCTCTGACCAGTGATAATATTTGTCTGTTCCTGAACTTTAGTTCCGTTTAACCATAAGTGATGTTGAGAATGATGGTACGATACATAATGGTGTAGCGTACAGGCCCATGATGGAATAGGTGAAGATGTAGGTATTATTGTGCTATTCATGAGACTGTTTTTACATAATTCTCATATTTATAATTTTAACTTTTTTAACCTGGTATCATGTAGGGGCTGTCACATGATCACGTCTTCGTATGGTTTATAATGATTAGACATTCCCACTAGGGTTTCCTGTTTTGGGGGGTTTCTTAGCATCCCAGGATTCTGGGACAAACCGGGATATTTCCCGGGATCCCGGGATTTCCCGCATCGGGTGATATTTGTACTAACTAATGCTATATGCTAACCCTATACTTCATTAGTATAGTATCTGTAGATTATTTGATAGGCTATTGATTTGATAAATTATATTACACTGAAGCAAAGTTATCTTTATTAACTTGCATACTGGTGTAAAAATAGATATATAATATGATTAAACAAGCAAAATTTTAATTAATCTCATTCCGTTAGCCATAAAAGAAACTCAGACATTTGGAATGGCATTCAAAGTTTGTTATTATAAAAAATAAGAATTCTATATTTAATGCCATTTGGAAGCCACATTCTACAAAAACCTAAAGCGAACACTTGAATGACCTGTGAAAAAAATAATAGCATACAATCATTTGTGCACACAAGCCACACAGTCACGCACACATCAAAAGTTGTTCATGAAATAACTCTTCAAGAAGCACAAACAGTCAATCTCATTCTGTTAGCCACAAAAGAAACTCAATGATATTTGGAATGACATTCAAAGTTAGCCATTATAAAAAAAGAATTATTCTATGCCATTTGGAAGCCCTACTCTACAAAAAACTTAGAGAACACTTGAATGACCTGCGAAAAAAAAAGGAATAGAATCATTTGCACACACACAAAGCCATGCACACACTAATAGTTGTTCATGAAATAACTCCTCAAGAAGCACAAACAGTCAATACTGCGGTCAGTGAGCCTTGTTCTTAGTTTTTTAATAAATAGGCCAGCAGCTGAAAATGCCCTTTCGGTTTCAACTGAAGTTGGTGGTACTGAGATGAGGGCCTGGAATAGTTTCTCTAAATTATGTGTTCTCTCTCCTGTTGCCTCAAACACATCAAACTCTTTCCTATTATGTTTGCATTCATACACCTTTCTACTTTTACTCTGAACCTGTTCTGTTGCTGCCTTGAGTTTATCTGTGAGCTTCATTTGTTCTTTTACAGATATTTCCATATTATCCTTAGCTGGTGGCTGCCAATGCATTTTTGTATTTTACATGGTGCAAATCAGAGATAAGGAATAACAATAAGAATACCGGGATTTGAACCAAATTCCCGGGGAAAAAAACATAACCATTTACGCCCGAGATCCCGGGAAGGAAACCCTAATTCCCACGTATAGTCCCTCCTTCTCCTCCCCTCTCCCCTAATTATATTTTTCTTACATTAGCTAATATTAAAGGCCATATCCCTCTTCAGTGTTCAGTTCTTGGCTAGAAAATTCAGAAGAGCTTTGACCATTGGATATAAAGACTGTTGTGTAACTTTAAATGGATTTTTATACTTGTGCATGTTTGTTATAGATACTAAACTCAAGTTTGTGATCTTAACAAATTACTACACATCAAACCCAACTTTTTATTTTTATTTTGGTCTTTCAAGCCATTTCCACACTCATTTTCCCTTCATTCGGTTTAATTCATTCATTTTTATGTTGTAAATTGTGTTCTATTATAGTACTTTGCTTCCATGAAAAGGCCCAATACAGTACAGACACCTCCCAGGCTACAGGTGACTTGGGTTAAGGATTTCAGACTTTGAGGATACTTTCCCATGTCTTATTTTGGGTAGATATACTGTATATAATTTTCTTCATTTTGTATTTAGTTACATACTCACTGAATCCTACATACAGAAAGTGCAAAAATATATAATTATCATAAGCTTTTACACATCTACGGGCTTCTGCCAAGAAACTGTTTGGAGGTCGGAGAGTCTGTGACGCAGCACTGTAGCCATTGGTACTACTGTACTGTGTTGCTAGGCGAGCAATTGTGATGCAATTTGAACACTTAACTTGTATCATTTTTGCTCTCTTTATGATTTCATTATTACTGCACTATTTACTATATGATTTTGTTATTGATAATTATATGCCTACAATTTTAAGTTTTAATTTTACAGTGTACAGTTAATGCTACTGTTTACTGTACATTTTAGACCTGGTGCTCTAAATTCTGGATTATAAACCTTATCTGGCATCCCCAGGTCCCAAGCAGGCCAGATAAATGGTCCCATACCTGTATAGTAATTGTACAGTGTATACATTATGTGTACTGTGTGTGTTCAATGATTACCTCTGGAAGGATCGCTTCTGGTTTACTGATAATTCAACTTACGGATAGCCTTCAGGAATGGAACCCACTCGTAACCCAGGGAGTGTCTGTATTTGGTGTGCCTGTTGCTTCACACAACCCAGTTTTACCCATCAGCAGCATGTTCTACCCCCAATATATATATATATATATATATATATATATATATATATATATATATATATATATATATATATATATATATATATATATATATATATATATATATATATATATATATATATATATATATATATATATATATATATATATATATATATATATATATATATATCATCACTTTTAATACATATTTCATTCCATCCTTTTATATCCTTGGTCTTTTCCACACCTTCCTATCATCCATTTCTGAATTACATGCTCTTTTCTGTACTCTTTCACCTTCCATTCTCTCATGTTAATACTGCCAGAGCAAACCCAAATTTGTGATATGCCCAGCACTTTCTTTTACTTCCATATCTCATTATTTCTGTACAATATTTCTTTTTCTCTGCATCCTTGTTCACATCAAATGCTGCTCTCATCACATTATTTTTTTCGCTCAGATACCAAGCACATCAGCATTCCCATGGTAAAAACACCTCGAGTTGGTGTCTTGTCACCGCTTTACCTAGAAATCCTGTGAGCCATGATAACTGAAACACTACTACATGTGTTTTGTTTTAATTTTACTAGTGAATTAACCGGGTGTCTGGTACAGGATGGCTTGAGATGCCTGTTTCAGCACTTCAACATCTGTCAATGCTGTGAAGTTTTGTTTTTTTTAAGTTAAAAAAAAATAACAACTGGATTTTTTCTTTTGTACATAGTATATTGAAACTTGGGACAAAAAGTTTTGCTCCGTTTTGCTCCTGTAATATTGGTTTTCCGTAAACCAAATTAATGTAAATCTGAAACTGCCTCTACAGCTAAATCTATTTTTTTCCATTGTTCAAAGAATGGGAAAATAATGTCTTCCAAATCATGTCATATTTGTTGTTACTGGTAATTATAAGTGGATCATCTGCTTTAAACTTAATCGTCTTTAGGCAATGTTTCCTTACAACCAACGCTTAAAAGGATTGTTTTTCTCCTCTGTATTGCCTCCACAGTCCCATATTGCCCTCAGTTCTCCTAACTGGTTACCTTTTCCCTTTGATAACTTATAGAGTACTGCCCTATTTTTTCTTATGTTATCACTTACAAATCTTTGTCTTCCTAAACTTATCCATAAATTCCCCATGTATTAATTGAAGAATGTCTTTTCACCCACTGTCTCGAGTATCTGGGAAATATGTTTAACCCTGTGAGGACTGTGTGCGTAATAATAATAATTAACGGTATATTGAAAAGTACAGCAGCCAGAGGCTGAAACTGTATAGTGGACAAACAATGACATACAGTACAATAATAGATATACACCGGTTCCTTGTATAACACGGGGGTTAGGGCCCCAAAACCCTTGTGTAAAAAAAATCAGTGTTAAATAAATAAAAGAACTTATGTAAAAAATAGATGTGGTCCCTGAACCCTACAATATTTGGGCATATTGCCACCTTAAACAATTAAGGTTAATCTAAACATTAATACATTCAGAAATTATTAAGTACTTCACTCACTCACACTTATACACCTAAACTTATACCTAAATGTTCCCTGTAATAATCTTGAAGCCATATGAACATTGCTTTTTCCATCTTGAGAATAAATGGATCTTTAGGTACACACACAACATTGGTCACAGAACGTGGGGAAGCATCATTAAATTAACATCTTATTTCTTCCTTAGACTTACAGATGGCTCTCACTGTTGATTCATTAACAGAATAATGCTGTCCTACAACAGCAAACGATTCTCCACCTTCCACTGAGTTAATGATACCTATTTTTTCTTCTGGTGTGAATACACAGCGCTTCACTCACATAACTTCATCTTGAGGTGGTCTACCTCGGATGAGGCATAATTACTAAATATCCAGCCAAAAAACTACAAAGTAACTGGAATGAGTGAAGGGGCTTTAGTGTTCACAAATGGGCGCCAAACATGTTCAGTAAACATTGACGTGCATTCCACCTGCTGGCCAGCTCTTGACAACACTCGGCACAGCCCGCAAAATTTGAACTGGCACACCACATAATTATAAATAATTATGAGTGTTAATTAAGGTAAATTGACATTCAAAAAGCCATACAAAGACAATTTAAAAAAAAAGTGTTAAGTAAGGTACCGGTGTACAGTACTGTACGTAGTGACATTGGGAGTGGATTGTTTAAAAAAGCTTTCAGTACAAAAAGGAGACATGCAGGGTATATATGAATCACAAATAATTTGGTGTTTTAAAGGAAACATGTGGTTGTAGGTCTGCCTGGTGGTGTATGGAGGGTCCCTAGCTGGTTCTTGCAGTATCTCCCCTCTGGTGTGTCCTATAGGCTTGCATTGTAAACATTGACTGCAATAACTGGCAGTCTCTCCACTGACCACTTTACTGTCCAAGTACCATGTTCATTCACTGGTTTTTTTTCCCCCCGAATTGAAATTGACACTTTTGTTACCGTGATGAATTGATAAACAATCCTTGCACTGGTTTATTGGAGGGGAAAGGGGAATGGCTTCCAGGTTGCACCTGATAGGAAATGCCAAGGGGAAGTCTGGACACATCAGTGGCAGATGTGTGTGTTCATACATGTGTGCCTGCGTATATGTATGCATGAGAAAGAGAGAGTGTGGTACAGTTTGTATTTATTTTATACATGTACATGTTTATGAAGAGGCCTAACCTTAATGTCTGTATATACCATAAAGAGGGGTATATGACCAGAGTGGACAAAGCTCCAGAAAAAAATAGAGACCTCCGGCGTTTTCCTCTCTGTGATCTGTCATTGGCCAGCCCTGCACGTAGTGACACGTGGGTAGTTTCACTTAATAGCAAAATCGACCATGTTGACATTTCCAAGGTTGTTTCCCTCTCCTTTCGTGAATAAATCTCAATTTTGACCATAGTGGGGCTTGGTCCACTCTGGGTGTACCTGCCTCATGTCACATCATACTATAAATTGGTGACACTAATGATTGTGCTGTACTGTATTAGATATGGGAGTAAGATGGTGGTGATGAGGTGCTGGAAGTATTGTCTTTTCAAAGGCACCTCGTGGACATTATATTTATAATCTGTACTTGTTTGTACTGAGCACTCTTAATTTCTAATTCATTTCCTCCCTCACTCCCTTCCTATCATTATTTTTTCCTCTGAACAAGAATCTTCCAACACTTCTTTTTCCTCAATGTATGATGTATGTTTGTTGCAACTCCATCACCACACTTTTCTTTCTTTTATTGGTGAATGGCACAGAAGTATATACAGGTGCTCCTCTACTTACGAACAAGCTACGTTCCTGAGGCTTGTTTGTAAGTCCAACTTTACGCTTGTAGATACCAAACATATTGTAAAAAATGAAAAGATTATGGATATTTAGTACAGCTATACCCTTTAATACAGCCTTAAAACCTGGCTCACTCTTCTCCTCTTAGGTAATGTTTGTTCTATCTGGAATTTTCATAAAAATAATCCAGTCTCGTCCACATTAAACACCTGTTCTGGCAGGTAACCCTCCTCAGTGATGATGTTTGTATCTCCGAAAGTTTGTAAGTTGAACGTTCTTTAGTAGAGGAGCACCTGTACTGGTTAATATCCTCCATTTTTGCTCTGCATTTGTAGTTTGTTAGAGGTGGATGTAATGTTGCGTTTAAGAGCCAAGTGACTTTCAGCAGAGGATAAAACGAAGAATTAATTATTGCTCGTAGATGTGTGATATTTCAGAGATTATATTTATTTTGTCTTGGTTAAGATGGGGTTTGGTAGCATTGAATACTGTATTCATCTTGAAATTGAAAATTAATCCTACAGAATGTGCTGCCAAATTGTCGGTTACATGTGGTTGGCTCATCTCTCAGTGGGTTTGGTGCAGACTACAGTGATGTGGACATGTGCCTGATGGTGACCCCCGGTGACCTTGATCAGCGCACTGAAGCAACTGCTGTGTTGCGTCTGCTCCAGAGAGAACTCAACAACTGTGGTGAGTAAATTAACTGTCCTAGTAGAGTACATGATATATGATGTCCTTTCATGTGATAGAAATGCAGTTTGTTATATATTTGCTTCGGTTAAATTTTTAAGAAATCTTGTTGTGCGTTGACTGGACAAATCTGATTTAACTTCGAATGGGAGGTTGGAGCTCATTTCCTAGCACTGTTAATTATATTATTGTTTCACTGCTTCTACAAGAAATTAAACTCATATACATTGCAAGTACAGGGTACTACTTTACTCATTTTGCAGTTTTTTTCTGTGTCTACCAGTCCAGTTGCTGGTTCACTAATAACAAGAGAGTGTGCTGATGCATACTCTCAGTGGTGGCAGTTTGGTCATGCTGATTTACCCATGGTCTACTCAATGTGTACACTGTTGTAATAAGTCTCTACTGTTTTGTATAGTACAGGAGTCCCTCGCCAACTGTGGGGGAGTAGGTTCCTGAAAAACCCTGTGGTTGGCAAATCCGAGGTTGGAAAGACTAAAGCTTATGGGAAATAGGGGCTTAGGTTCCATGGCTGTGGATAATACTCATCAAATCCTTACTTAGCCTGTTCCTTCACTAAGCAATACCTGTATTGTACATTTAATTAAATTTCAGTCAAATAAGTGGGGGGGGATGGAGGTGGTGTTACAAGGAAGAGGGGGGCAGAAGCCCATGGTGCATCCCACTGGTGCTATACTCTTCCCACACACTAGTCTTAACAAGCATTTCAACTTTATTTTTTAATGGCATTACACTCATTGTCCTTTTCACCTTCTCTACACCTTTATCAACTAACACTCAATGCATGCTTAGTGGCTAGAGTTAAGGGCAAAATCAAAGTTAATACAGTAAGAAATAAGTGCGAAAATATGGAGCAGTACAGTACGTGACAACGCTATGAGATCACAACACTGAGAGAGCAGTGGTGGGAGATGTGATGCTACACGGATGAATACATTAGACTGCTGATACATAAAACTAAATGCCGAAGCTGGTGAAATGGTATACAGGGTGAAAACTGTGGATACATGGAATCTATGATTGGTGAGGGTCTACTGTACTGTACCACAACTCATTTTATTTTTAGTGGAAATTGTATTTATATACGGTTTCTATAAGAATGACACAATTTGTAGAATGTTTGGAAATAGAACTCTTGAAAATCACAGGTTTACATACTGTATTAAGTTCTTAGGTGGAAAACTTGCTGATGCACACTTGCTTATGTTCATTTTCAGTCATAAACGAGGTTGGGTTAATGTATTCTGACATATTAAGAATATTTTCTGATATTTTTATATAGATTTTATAGATTAATTGAAAAAATAATCTTTTTCAGGCTCTATTCAGAAAATGGAGCTCATACGAGCAAAAGTGCCCATCCTGAAGTTCAGAGATGCTTACTCAAAGATAGATGTGGACCTCAACTGCAACAATGCTGTTGGAATCCGCAATACACATCTCCTGAACTCCTATTCACAACGTAAGTTCTGGACCATGAAAGTGTTGAATGTAAAACAGGGAGAGATTAAATTATCCACATTTTAATGACTGATTGTCTAGGCCATAATTTTTTTAAAGTGGGAAATTGCAACATAAAACTTGGAACATGTAAGCATTATCAGGTTGGTGGTTATTCAGTTTGTGTTAATATTATTTTATTTTTATTTTCACAATACAGTATAATAAAAAATTATTTAGCTTCTACCATAATGGTGTAGTGGTTAGCACACCAGTGTGCTGTTTTACTGACATATTTTTAATGTCATGGCACATAAAGTGTACTCCTATGACATTTCTAGTCAAATGACCCTTGTAATCTTGCACCAAACTGACTGGCAATTGGCTTACCAGGAGGACCCCCTGTGAGGTTGAGGAGTTACTTGTTATGATTCTTAACTTATCAACTGTTTTCTCACACCATTTTTTTGTACATATAGTAACAGTAACTGTTGCAGGATATGAATTTATTCATTGAGGGTGAAGGGAAGAAAAAAAAAATTGAAGTAATATCTTCTATCTTTTATTGTTTTTATGATGCACTAACTGGAACCCAGATAATTAAACTGAGAGCTGTTAAACAAATTGATAAGAATAAAATGATCAGATTTGCTAACAAAACTCTACCTCTTTGCCATTTTTATGTGATGCCTACAGAAAAAGGCCCATCACACTTTTTGTTGCAACACAATTTATCTCACAACATACCTGTCATTCTGATTATCAAAAAATTTATTAATGGAATACATAATGTAATAAAGATTAGTAATGCTACAGGCTATTCCTTTGGTTATTTTTTTTTTATTAAATGATGGTATTGAGAAAGGTATTTGCTGAATCTTCTATAACTTAAGTGTTGAATTGACAAAGCAGATGTACACATGAAATTGATATCTTAACTTTGTCTTGCAGTAGACTGGCGAGTACGTCCGCTGGTCCTAGTGGTGAAACTGTGGGCTCAGTATCACAACATTAATAATGCCAAGGACATGACCATCTCATCATACTCCTTGGTACTTATGGTCATACATTATCTGCAGCGTAAGTATTATTTGTTACTTAAATTTACATTAGCCTTATTTTCTTTTATCAAGGACTGTAAGATAATTTGCACCAAGGTTAATTTTAAATAAATTATGTTAGTACAGTACAGGGGATCCCTGGTTACGAACGCATTCCATTCCTGGGGACCTTCTTATGTCGGAAATGTATACAAATCAGAACACATACTCTATGTGCTTTATATCGTAAACTAAGTCCTTTTACATCTCAAATAACTAACTTTAAGAGAAAGGAAAAAATTGAATGACAAAATACAGTAATGGAAAGTTTAACACTTATATTGGAAACTGGGACTGGCTTGCATGCATAGATGGGCATTTGTAGGAGTGACAGAAACTTTATTGGGATGAAACTGAAGATGGTGTAGATACTTATAGTATTGGTTCTGGAAAATCTACTGAGGTAGAGGGAACTGGTTCTGGAGTTGATGGGACTGGTTCTGTAGATGCTGCAAAGGTTGATGGGACTGGTTCTGTAGATGCCTCAGAGGTTGATGGGACTAGTTCTGTAGATGCCTCAGAGGTTGATGGGACTAGTTCTGTAGATGCCTCAGAGGTTGATGGGACTGGTTCTGTAGATGCCTCAAAGGTTGATGGGACTAGTTCTGTAGATGCCTCAGAGGTTGATGGGACTGGTTCTGTAGATGCCTCAGAGGTTGATGGGGACTGTCTTGATGCTCTAGAGGTTGATGGACTGGTTCTGTAGAGTGCCTCAGAGGTTGATGGGACTGGTTCTGTAGAGTTCTCTTAGAGGCTGATGGGACTGGTTCTGTAGATGCCTCAGAGGTTGATGGACTGGTTCTGAGATGCCTCAGAGGTTGATGGGACTGATTCTGTAGATGCTCAGAGTGTTGATGGGACTGGTCTCTGTAGATGCCCAGAGGTTGATGGGACTGGTTCTGGCAGATGCCTTTAGAGGCTGAGGGGATCATTCTGCAGACGCCCCAGAGGTTAATGGGACTGGTCTTGTAGATGCCTCAGAGGTTGATGATCTAGTTCTGTAGATGCCCCCAGAGGTTGATGGGACTGGTTCTGTAGATGCTCTAGAGGCCATGGACTAGGTTCCAGATGCCTCAGAGGTTGATGTGAGAGACTAGGCCCTGTAGATGCCTCAGAGGTTGATGAGATCTATTCTGTAGATGCCTCTAGAGGTTGATGGGACTGGTTCTGTAGATGCCTCAGAGGTTGATGGGATTGGTTTGTAGATGCCCAGAGGTTGATGCTGGACTAATTTGGTAGATGCATCAGAGGTTGATGGGACTGGTTCTGTAGATGCCTCAGAGGTTGATGGGACTGGTTCTGTAGATGCCTCAGAGGTTGATGGGACTGGTTCTGTAGATGCCTCAGAGGTTGATGGGACTGGTTCTGTAGATGCATCAGAGGTTGATGGGACTGGTTCTGTAGATGCCTTTTGTCTTTCATAAACTTTTCAGGGGATGGTTGAACTGAAACTCTTTTCTTCATAAATCTCTCTGTAGCATGGTAGACATTCAGTAATACTTCTATGAACCTTGGTGAATCGTGCCGTTGAAATTTAAACAATCCTTCTTCAATAAGCCTGAAACCATCTGCCATTTCTTTAGTAATGAATCCCTTTGGTTCTGGAGTTTCAGCTTCCTCTACATCCTGTGACAAAATTTGGTTCTCCAGTTCAATCGGGTCCTCATTGCTTAATTCTTCAGCTTCAGACTCAAGTAACTGTGTAGCATCATCCTCATGAATATCAGGCTGGAGTTGGTTCCCAAGGTCTACCACTATCTGTGTCTTCAAGTCAGCATGCAAGCTTCTCGCTTTTCCTGAATCAAAGCTAGACTTAGAGGCAAATGACATTGATTTTGATCTTCCACCCAAGTCACTAACAATCTTTCCATTTCAATAAGCAATCCACATCTTTATTTTGTAATCACAGTTGAGTGCATTGATGTAGATCCTTTTACATGTTCAAGAATTTTGTTTCTTTCAAAATTGTTCTGATCATTGACCGACTGAAGCCCAATGCTTCACCAATGACTGAGGGTTTTTCACCTTTTTCAGAACATATAATTACATCAACTTTCATTTCCATTGTAATTGTTTTCCTTTTCTTGGATACACTACTATCACTTGCATCAGGTTTGCGTTGGGGAGCCATGTGAGGGCAGAAAAGGAGAGTTATTAAGTAAAAAACAGTTTGCACTTGATCACATAAATTACTGAGGTGAGGTAAAGGCGTACTAATGCTCCCTCAAGGAGCGCGGCTGGGTTATGCATTACCCGTATTTTGCGGCGTAGAAGACGCTGCATCATGGAAGACGCACCCTGATTTTGGGAATGTAATTCTAGGAAAAAACCTTTTTATACTTACTAACCGACACCAGTGAAACCGTTTCTTGATATACAGCCCTTTTGGCACAAGTACACACACCTCTTTGAATATCATCACTTAGAACTGCTTATCAGTCATCATTTTCATCAATTTAAAAAAAAATCTGTATAAGAAGGTGAAATCTTTAATACAGCACTCATTTTATACACCTGGTCACCTCCACATCTTAGGGGCTGTAGTGTTTACATTCTTTCTCTTGTTTTTGTCGGTATGACAACGACGGAAATTTTTTTTCCAACAGTAGAAGGTAAGCAAATGTAAACATGTATATCAACGTCTAACGAAAACAAAAAATCTTTATTTAAAAAAATAAATTAAAAGAAAAAAGCAACTGTAAAAATCAGTTGAATTAAAAAATTTTGGTGTGAATAAACAAATTCCTGCACTTTGAGACCAGCAGACAACTTTTTGCAATTCCTCAATAGATGGCACTGCCGCACCACTGCCATTAGTAAACAAACCGCACAGCAGCAAAGGTTGTGTAGCTGCAGCCGTTTATTTTTTATTTTTTACCTACTGAGTAAGTAAATACAGGTTGTACCTCTCTAGTCCGGCATTCTGTGGTCTGGAACGATTTTAGTTTGTCCAATAGGTAGATAGGCAACTTTTTTTTTTTTTTTTTTTTTTTTTTTTTTTTTTTTTTTTTTTTTTTTTTTTTTACTTATCTGAATTATTATTATTATTACAGGAGTATTAAATTTATGCCCCTCAGGCCCCAATGTGGGTCAGTGACCTATGCCCAGGTGGGCTAATCCCCTTAAAAAAAAGCCGCGGGAAATTAAGGTTTGTTTACATCCGGCAGTTCGGCTGCTCTCTCTCTCTCTCTGCTTGTCTATACAGAGTACAACATTTAACCCTTTAATATATATGAGCAGTAAATAAGTGTTGCTTTCATATTCTTATGTAGAGTAATGACGATATGTTTTCACATGTGCGCACTTACATACGCGCAGTCTCACTTTTTTTTTTACCATTAATGGTTAGCTACTTATATTGTTCCATTTATTAACATTAAATAACATTACAGGTACTTCAAACAACCATATTATTTTTTTACATTAATTTTACTACAGCTACAATCAGGGTCTTATTTTCTTCAGTTTTATATGTAGAACCAATCAGTCACTGGTTTTGTAAGCTTTAACATAAACAATGCCGGCAGCCGTCTCGTCTTCTCGTGTGTTTTTATATTCCACATATTATTAATAAATTGTATTGTTCATTTTGCACACACAAACATTAATTCAATAAAAACAAATTCAGAAACATTAATTAAAATATATATGAACAGTAAATAAGTGTTGCTTTCATATTCTTATGTTAAGTAATGACGATATGTTTTCACGTATGTTTTCACGTGTGCACACTTACATACGCGATCTCTTTTTTCTTTACCATTATCGTTAGCTACTTCTAATGTTCCATTTATTAACATTAAATAACATTACTTAAAACAACCATATTAATTTTACTACAGCTACAACCAAGGTCTTATTTTCTTCAGTTATATATGTAGAACCAGTCAGTCACTGGTTTTGTAATCAACGAAAACAATGCTGTGTCATTTCCTCGTGTGTTTTAATATTCTACTTATTATTAATGAATTGTATTGCTCATTTTGCACGCATAAACATTAATTCAATAAAAAAGACATTCAGTAATAAACAATAATGAATCGTTTGTACAAAAGAGAAATGACGCTGTTTACACGATTATGCACGTTGGCGGGCTGTTCAAACCCGTCGAAATTCAAGTTTCCGCAGTCAAAATTTTTGTTTATTTTTTTTTTTTGTGTGTGTGTGTGTGTGTGTTCCAATAGAATACCTTGAATTAAAAACTCGCGAACTTTGAGAAGCTACTATACGACATTTAACCCTTCAATATGTCTTCAAAGAGACCATGATGCAGAGGATGCAGAGAAAGTGGTGCTAGTGCTTCCAAGCATAAGCACAAGTCACTATCTATCCAGGAAAAGAGTGAATTTCCATGGTCCGGCACCGGTCAGGTCCTGAGGTTGCCGGACTAGAGAGGTACAACCTGTACTGTAATCGTATTTTTTGCAGTATGTCAACAATATTAGTTAAATCAATTGTTTTATAGTACTGTATAGAGAATACTTGCAATTGCTAAGTACTGTAATGAGGTAACAGTCTTTGTAAGGGGCTGATTTCAGTTAACCCTAAGAAAACCTCTGCTACATCAACTAGCGTCATGGAAGACGCATGGTAATTTTCAAGGTATATTTTTGTAATAAAAAGAGCGTCTTCTATGCCGCAAAATACGCTACTCCCCATCAGCTGCTCCGCCTCGCCTACTCCCCATCAGCCGCTCCGCCTCGCATACTCCCCATCAGCTATACTCCCCATCAGCAGCTCCCAACATCAGCCGCTCCGCCTCGCCACTCCCCATCAGCCACTCGCCTCGCCCCTCCCCATCAGCTGCTCGCCTCGCCTACTCCCCATCACTCATCAGCCTCCGCCTACTCCGCCTCGCCTACTCCCCCATCAGCTGCTCCGCCGCCACTCCCCCATCAGCCACTCCCGCCTGCGCTTACTCCCATCAGCTGCTGCCTTGCCTACTCCCCCATCAACTGCTCGCCTACTCCCCATCATCCGCCCGCCTAGCCACTCCGTGCCCTACTCCCCATCAGCTGCTCGCCTGCCTACTCCCCATCAGCTGCTCCGCCTCGCCTACTCCCCATCAGCCGCTCCGCCTCGCATACTCCCCATCAGCCACTCCGTCTCGCCAACTCCCCACCAGCCCTCCACCTCACTGCTATACCATGCAAACTAGTTCTCCTATTTTAGTACTATGAACCAATTTTACCTATGTTGGATTCTTAAAATAATTGACAATGTGGAACCTCGTTTGTATCGGCGGGTGCTAGTAAATGAGGAACCCCCTGTACAGTATAACATAAATGGCAAAATATTTGTTGAACCTTTTTTTTTTTTTTTTTACACCTGGAAATTGCATGGATTTAAATACAAAGATGTGACAGAACATATGAAACCATGCAGTGCCCAGTCAAGATGATCACATCATTCCTTTTCAGATGGTATGGAGCCACCGGTGTTGCCGTGCTTGCAGAAAACCTTCCCGGAAAAGTTTCGGGCAGCTACACCGATAACCTCTATACCTGTGACTGAAAAGATGCCAACTTTTACTTCTAACAACCATGATAGTCTTGGCAAATTATTCCATGGTTTCCTTGACTATTTTGCTAATAGATTTACGTAAGTTTCCTCTTTGTTATATACTGTAATTAGTTTCTTAGGATTATTTCTTAAATATTAGAGCTGACAATGGAAACTTTATGATATTATGGGTACCTGGTAATTAAAAATACTTCAGAATAGGGTTTGGCTTGGGGGGCATTTTGTTTTCATTCTTAATGTACTAGATGCAGGTTTGTAATGTGATGCTATATGATTAAAAATAGAAGTCATAGAAAACTGAAGGTTAATTATCTTGTAGATGATATTTCCCTCTTTTATTGAGTTAATTCAGGCTTAGAGAGTAAAGGGTTCTGTAAGTTTGTACAAATTTTCCTGTGTTTGCTTCCTTTCAGTAACTGTGAGAGGTTATGTCAAATAAAAATATACTGTGCACCACTTTCAGGGTGCAGTAATGTACAGATGTACACCACCTGTAGAAACAAAGAGGCTTTGTACAGTATATTTGTTTTTAAAGTTCCCATAGATATGCAAGAATTGGAATGAATATAGAAATAAAGGACATTAACCAGGTTCACTGCTTAACATATATATTTCACATGAAGATGTAACCATTGATGATGATATGCACGGCTGGAAAGATTAAGTGTGCAGTGCTTGATTGATTGCACTTAGAGGGAACATTGGTGCAGAATATATTGATCAGGGGTCAGGTTCTTGTAACTACTGTACTGTGATGCACCAAATCATGAATAACTTTTTATTGGGTAAACAAAGTTTGTCAGCAATCACTTTTTGCCCCGGTAGACATAATGCACAATCTACCCACCTTGTCGAGCCCCCGACACATTAAAAACATCAGGTACAATACTGCCTGATAATGCTAGGTAGGTGAGGTGAGGTGAGGGGTGGCAGGAGATGCTATACAAGATTAGATCAGGTTTATTTGCCTACCGTGAGTATACAATAACATAGATAACTAAAATAGAAATTATTAATACAGTCAAATCTATAAGATTCTGATAGCTTCAGATTTAAAGTGTGCTAAGATTTGAGTGAGAGTTTTCATGTTTGGCTGCTCTACAGTATGTGTGGCTTTGTGAGCAGTGTGGTGGTGGTGTTTGTTTTTATAAACTGGTACCGTATTCAGTATCATTTATCCCTTAGAACAACATTCTTTTGGTTACATGTGTATAGAGATTAGCTGTATTTCTGTGTGTGTGTGATAATAACGATATTTTTTTTTTTTTTTTTTTTAGTTCTGCAGCCCAAAGGCTGAAAATATACATTGAAAAAATAAATTACTTATTACATACGAAGACATGGGGTGGGTGGGTTATTTAACAAAAGCTTTCATTACTGAAAGAAGAAGGAACAATGATTGAACATACAAATTATTATAGTTTACAGTTGATGGCCCGGGCCTGGGCTGGTCATTGAGACACCGGGTGGTGTGGTGTTCACTTGGTGCAGTAACTCGTCCTCGGGTGTTGATATGAGGGACCTCACGTGGTCATGGAGACATCGGGTGGTGTGGTGTTCACGTGGTGTAGTAACTTATCCTCGGGTGTTGATATGAAGGACCTCACGTGGTCATGGGACACCGGGTTGGTGTGCATGCGTGGCTGCACTTTTGAAAAAATATTGTAAGTCTTCATGTGAACAGCTGTTTCATCATACTTCTCTTGTAGTTCATTCAGCTCAGTTATTTTTCATTTTCACTCTTTGTATGCTGTACTTCCTTCACTGTTTGGTTGCAGAAGTATTCATAGGCTTCAGCTAGTTAAGATTAAGTTAGGTTAGGTTGGTTAGGCTAATTTGAGTTGGCCCAAATCACCTGCTATTTTGTGTAACTAAACAAATATTGCATACCCCATTGTCCAGTCATGTTTCCCCCAAGGTTTCACAAAAGGTTTAGAAATTCATGAAAGAACAGAAATTGTATTGTAAATGAAAATTGAATCTTTATTTTTTATTAAGAGAAATTTTTCAGTTTTTATTAAGCAACTGTTGCTTTACTTAACTACTACCTTTATGAATGAACATCAGTTTACTATAATTAATTGTCAGTAATTTCAGTCACATAGTTAATGCCAGTACTGTATGATATACCGTATATACTCGTGTATAGTTCGCGTTTTTAAGACCAAATTTTTAGGCAAAAATTGGAGGTCGTCCAATACATGCGTAATAGTTTTGTTAGGTTGAACCCGTGCATGATGGGAAGGGCGAGGAGCAACTTTTAGCTTCAGACATGAAAAATATTTACCATTTACTGCCAGTAAACAATGGAAATGTAAAATATGTACCAATTAGTAATGAAAAGTTGTGCAGTTCCTCCAGCGAATGAAGCTCACCAACTTACAATAGGCTAAATTACCTTACAACGTGCTTTCAGTAGTCTATGTTGAAGTTCTTAGCACAGACTAACTTATCATATCATATACGGTATCACAGTTCTCATTGATCTACAAAAAATACCGGTAATAAAAACCTTTTCGATATTTCACACTTAATATAATACCCAGTAATCTACTTCAACCTCCTATTGTTTACAACGACGCATCACGCACCACCAGCTGTTGCGTGTATCAGCTAGACGGTACACGTGTTTTTCGAATCGTTTTCAGCTAAAAAACTGTTACATCACATGTACATTTTACCTTAACTGTGCCTGAATGAATATATTCTCGGAAATAAATAGTAGTTTTGCTGAAACGTGATGTATTTTAATGTAAAATAGGATAAAATACACGACGAAAACAAAAGATTTTACCTAACCTTCCGATGTTCAAGAGAAGTTACTCGTTTTTTTAATAGTTTTTGGTTAAAATGTTGTTATATTACAATGGTATTCTATTCATACTGTGCTTGATATAATACATTCACGGAAATGTAATATTTTTGCTGAAATGACGTACGTATTACAGTGGAAAGTGGGATAAAATCGTGACGAAAACAATGACTTTTGCTTTCTTTCGTTCAAAAGATGTTACCGTAATCGATTTTCAAATGGTTTTCAGTTAAAAAACTGTTGTATTACAATAATATTCTATCCTGATTGACTTGAATAAATACTACGATACCATATTTCTGAATATTTTCATTAAAATTCATCAAAATCATTTTCCTTGTCATCGTCTGCAGCACCAAACAGCTTCTCCCAGGCCTCTCCTTGAACAGGGCTAGAGGTTACGTGTTTTTTTAATCGTTTTCAGTTAAAAAACTATTACATCGCACGTATTTTTACCTAAAATGCTCCTGAATGAATATATTCTCGGAAATAAATAGTAATTTTGTTGAAACGTGATGTATTTCAATGTAAAATAGGATAAAATGCATGACGAAAACAAAAGACTTTACCTAAGCTTCCGATGTTCTTGAGATGTTGCCCGTTTTTTTAATAGTTTTCGGTTAAAATTCTGTTATATTACAATGATATTCTATTCATACTGTGCTTGATATAATGCATTCACGGAAATGTAATATTTTTGCTGAAATTACGTACGTATTACAGTGGAAAGTGGGATAAAATCGTGACGAAAACAATGACTTTCGCTTTCTTTCGTTCAAAAGATGTTACTGTAATCGCTTTTCGAATGGTTTAGTTAAAAAAATGTTGTATTACAATAATATTCCCTCCTAATTGACTTGAATGGAAATATACAATATTTTTGTTGAAACTACCCGCGTTTCAGTGTAAAGTGTCGTAATAATAAATGGTAAACAATTTGCCTTCGGCACTCGGTGTTTCAGGCACGGCGAGCCTCAGTTTATAGGACGTAGAGTGTTTTTACTGAAGGTTTGGTGTTCCATTACCCTAAAAAACGTGGGTCGACCTATAAATGAGGAATATCATAAATTAACGATTTCTTTGTCAAAAAATCAGGGTCGACCTATAAACAAGGGGGGGTTATAGACGAGTATATACGGTACTTGAATATTTAAAAGTTTATCATGATAAGTCTCATTGATATAAACCTCAACTATAAATGGGTTTACTTAAGGTTTATGTTTTTAGATTAATGAAACCAGAAATAGGAAATCAAATAATTGTGATAATTACCAAAATAAATTAAGTTTGAGTGGGGAAACAGAAAATCATCACTGTGTAAATCTCACTTTATTTTACAGGTTTATTGAGGAGACAATCTCAGTGCGTACGGGAGGAATTGCACCCACAGATCAATGCCGCAATGTTCAATCTCGGAAGAATGATTCACGAATGTGGAAATACCTCTGCATTGAAGGTTTGTAACAATTTTTGGGCAATAAGAATGTGGTTTGTGTTAGTTCTTGGACAATAAGTTCAAAATAATTATGAAAATAGTCAAATTTGATGAGAAAGATAGTTATATAGCAATTTTGTTGAGATATATATGAGAGGTAAGTTAGGGATGTCAGTCATCCTCATGTATGGCTCCCTCTGACTTGAAGGAGAGTCATCTAACCAAGTTGGCTGCATGAGTCAACTTTTTTTCTAAAATATCCCATGCACCCTTATCATCAACTCTTATATTCAAATCTCCCATTAGTCAATCTATTTCCCATGTTACAGCTCTCAATACTGTTATTAAGGTATTCCCATAATCTTTATTTCTCATCCTTGCTCCTTATATTCTGTGGTCTATATACTGTATATTAAATATAACCCATCTTTCCCTCCCTTCTATTTAATCTGATTTTCATACACATTTCATCTCTGAACAACATAGTCACAAATTTCACTTTTTCTAGGACAGACAGAAAGAAAACTTATCAAATCACATGTTTAAATATTTATATGTTTTATCTTTGTGACAAGTTCTCCGTATTTAAATGCTAATAATTTGCATTGATAAATAAGATTTTTTTCTCCTTTTTTCTTTGGCAGAGCCATTTGATCTGACAAACACTGCAAGATCTGTTTATGATGAAGCTGTGTTTGAGCGAGTGAAGAAGGTCTTTGTGGATTCATACAAACAATTGAATGAGAAGAGGGACCTTTCATATATTCTCTCGTGAGGCCGATACAGCAGTTGGTGTGAAGAAATAACAGGAAACAGTATCAAGAAGATGGCTTTAGCCTTGTGATTTTGGTTAAAGCTGACAATTATATACTGGCCTGTCACAAGCTCAGTTTGGGTCCACTGGTTGATGTATGTTCATTGGAATGTGTTTAGAACTTTCCTTAAACAATTCTCTTATAGGTTATTATATGTTGCAGCATACTATAGTTTTGAATATGGGACCATGCTTGAAATGTCTGTAAAATGCTGTTTCAAGGAACACAGTCTGAGTCCTTTAGTACTAGGACAAGTCAGACTACAAGTGAATGTGGGATAACACTGGCTTGTAATGAGTAGAAGACTGTGCAGTATACTCTCTTGACTTACATACCAGGGAAGGGTCAATTTAATGTGATCCAATATATTGGATTACACTACATGTAAACCTTAGTATTAGTGTTTGCAGTGGTGTTATTGGCAAGAAAATGTGCAAGCATATGTATTTACCTCTATAAGACTGAGGAAGAAAATTTACATAGAAATAAATTGACATTGGTGACATGGTATTGAAAAGATATACAAGCATATGCATTTACTTCATTGAATCTGAAAAATGTTTAAATACGTTTGAACAAACTGTGATGACAAGACACTTTTCATACTGTTTATGCTTAGTGGAATCATAAGATTGGGAGGAAGTAAACAAATTATGCTGTTGTGCAGAACATTGGTGTTTTTTCTGAAGTGGTCCATCTTCAACCAACAGCATTCTCGCTAACCTGAGCTCAATTCTGGCAATAAACCTTAACCAACTTTTTTTTGTATTGTTGGATCCATATGTATTTTTCACATTACATGCCACATGATTATATTTCAGAAAGTGCACATATTGTACGAACTCCTGTAATGTATTCTCCTTCCCATTATGAGGGAATGGTTCTTCAGAAGGGAAAAGCTGGAATGCTCCACTTGTGTTTTTGATGGTTTCAAATATTCAATGAATCTAGTTGAAGACCTGTGATGACTTACCCTCGGATATATATGAAAGATATAAACTAAGGTGTGAAAACTATAAAAAGAAGAAAAAAATCCTGAAGAGGTGTAGTATCTTTTCTGTTACTTTTCCATTTAAATTAATCAATACATCTGGAAAAGCAACAGTTGGTTACTATGAACTTACTTGAAGGAACTGTAATTTTGAAATTATTATAATATTTAACATAAGAATGTTAACTTTCAGGAACTTGTTTAATTTAGAAGCTAAAATCCTCAAGAGAAACCTCCTTTATTTCAACTTTTGTTGGGTTTATTAGATATTTAAGTGTTGTTTATAGCTATCATTTTGCAAACAAGAATGTGTATCCCTTCATTTTTATGTTGTTCTGTGATTGTGAATAAGGGATATAAAGTAACTCCTATAAAAGTAAATGAAAAACATTAACTTTTTTGTTTGTGGTTACAACCTTGGTACAGTCTGATGCTGTACTGTACAAGCTTTAAGGCTTAGGCAGGTTGTAATATACAATGTTCTCTCACTGTAGTTGTATAGCTTTATTTTTCACCAAATCAATGCGGTTTTATTTGAGGAAAACAACTTTAAAAAAATATTATATGATGATGTTGATGACTAAGATAGATTTGAATGTACAGCATCACATAAATAGGTTCTTGAAAGTGTATTCTGTGTTAGGTGATTGAGTGCAGCTCTCCACCTACAAAGCTGTAAGTTTATGATAACTCGGTCAGTTGACTTGAGTTTCAGGGTTTCAGTTCTCAATTCATGTGGCTGTTCTTGTTTCTGTCATCATCACTCTCAGTCCTTTTCTTGAGATTTTCTATTAAAATTGATTGAAGGCTGATTTTGAATTTATTTAGACTGTTGTTAGTACAGGGTGTAGTTACACATTTAAAATATTCTTTGATAAAAGGTAAACAGGTGATTAAATAATCGTTATATAAAAAAATTCTGACATTATTATTATTATTATTATTAGTAGTATTTTACTCTTCGCATTTTTAAGTTATCATTAAAGGAGACTTGTTTTTTGTTGTCAAATGTTAGCTGAAGTATAATTTTCCACATCAGAACTTGAAGAAGGATCAGAGTTTGGAAAACACTTGCATAAATAGTATTTATATCTTCCAAAAAATGTGGACTGATGATTTCACATTTCAGAGAAAGTGTAATGAGGCCAGTAATGCTACTTGAATTCTACCTCTTGTATGGTTGAACGTGTGTGTGAATGGGCTTGTAAAAGATGAACCGATTTAGATTTGCCTTATTTTACTCAAGGAAATGGACAAAACTAATGCCTCTGTACTTCAGTGAATATTATTATGTATATATTTCTCTCATATTCAATTCATTATTCACTGTAATGCAGAAATCCAGCATTCTAAAGTAATCAGTGCCCGTGGGTATGAATTTTTGCATAATGAGCATTACTTCTTAGAACTTAGTATTTCATTCATAATGGATACTGGATTTTCAGTGGTCCATGATAAACAGCTAGAGTCTAGTTTATAGTAATGTTTTAGGTTGATAGATTTTGATGGAAAGTATTATATACTGTGTGATATTACCACATGAAAATGTCATCATGAATGTCAAATCATTAACAAGTATGTGAGGTCAGGATTTTTTGCGGTGTGGATAGAATATCTTGGTACTCTTTTTTTTTTTGTGCTTTGAAATGTTTGGACGTTGGGAAAGTAAAATACTTGTGGAGAATTTTATGTTCAGGTTTTATGTTAGTTAAGTAAAGTGCAGTATATTTATATGAGAGAGACCACACCCAAAGTATTATAGAAAGCAGTTTTAATATAATATGTTAAGTAAAGAAGTGTTAAATGTTATGGTAGTATTTTCTTTTGAGGGTTTTATCCAAAGGGCTTCAAAGATAATCTGGTTTTGTGTTAAATCACTCAAAGTATTGACAAATTCCTGTATTGAGACAGACTTTAATTGAATTTGCAAAGAGTAAAACATTTTTCAGTACCACTCTAGTTTTTGGTGAGGACTGCATTGGGTTTCTTGTGAGAGGAAGTTTATTCAAATGTCTGAATATTGTTATGAGTTTTGCCTTTCATAGTGAAACTTTTTTGTAGGAACACGAATATTGATACTTCTTCACAGATATCATGTATTTCAATGATTCTCATTAGTTGTGAAGAATGAAAAACATCAGATTTACTTTCATAAATGGTAAAGAAATAGACAGTGCTACTGTATTCTATTTATGGTGGTACTGATGTTAATTTCTCTGTGTGCATCCCCATCCAGGTTCAGACTTTTAACAGTGCATTTACATCATTAATATGAGCCTTACCAGTAGTAATTTCTCTTGATTACTTTTAAGTTATAAGCTTGTGCATCGGTATAAAGTATTGATCAATAAACTTGTCAAGGACATTGAGATATTCATCATGAATAGGTGTGAGGAGTACAGCAGGTATGAAAAACTAGGATGTTTCATATCTAAGGCACATTGAATAGATTTTGCATGGGTCACCTTACTGCTTTCTGTAAAATGATGCATAGGTGGCTCACTTGATCATAGGTATACAAACTCAAGAATACAGTACTGTAATAGCATTATGATTGAAAATTAAACTTATATTGCATTTTACACCCTGGAATAAATTTTCCTGTTTCAGGGTATTGCCTTTAATCTTAAATTATGAAGTCTCAAAACCCATGCAGTTCACCTTCCATACTACCTACCTGATTCCCAGCTCATATGAAACCATTAAAAGATGTTGAAGGTGCTGATGGAAGTGTGGCTTAGAGCACCTATTCAACCGTTTGTAATGGAGTAAGATTTTCATAGATACTGTAATTATGAAAGAAGGCATTGGTGACAGATTTTATGCTGCAAATCTTTATTTTGTATTTTATGGGAACAAGTAGATCCTTAATTTCTGTTTGGGAGGAAGAGCTGTAACGATAAGGATTATATAGTAATTCTAAAGATTTTATTTCTCTTGCTAATCTGCTGTATTTTGAACCTGAGTTGAGGTCCAGCAGGGTGCATTTGGGCTTCACCTTTCATGATTCCATCATTTTGAAAAGCAAAGCTTATTTTTACTTATGGTAATTTTTTTAATTTTTAAGTTTTGTTGCCATACTGATACATATTTTTTGTTACACACAATTATGACAGTATATATATATATATATATATATATATATATATATATATATATATATATATATATATATATATATATATATATATATATATATATATATATATATATATATATATATATATATATATAAATTTTTTTTTTTTTTTTTTTTTCATTGGTCCATAGCACGCGGACTTCAGCGGACTTCAGCATATAACAACCTCACCAGCCAGGACTCGAACCCTCCTGGCTGGTGAGGTTGTTGATTTTATATATATATATATATATATATATATATATATATATATACACACGAATGACTTCAAAATATATACAGTTGTGAAAAGCTTGAAATGGTAATGGTTTTGTGGCAACTGCTCTTATACTAGAAAAATTATTGTTTATATTATGCCTTTTATTGCAGCTCTCAGTATCCTGTTTTATTTGCTTGAAAGCATGGATGGCCATGGAAAATCATTCTGAAAGTCTGAATTTAATGCTTATATATGTGTATTCACCCAAATTTTACCTTCCACTGTCTGCTCATCTGTTCTCTGTTATATTCTTTGCTGCTCTTTTATGTACAGTATTTTCATTGTTATCCTAGAGTCATATCAGGATGGTTGTGCAATACCTCATTATTTTATGTCCGTGTCAAATTGCTTGTTGGATTGATCTGGAATGTCATGTGAATAGTACTGCTTATAACAACTTGTTTAGCCTTGCCAACAATTTAAGAAGCTAATTCCAATGAATGAAGTTTTACTCCATTTTGCCAGTACATTTTCCACAATAGTATATTACCTGGGTAGTCAGATTTAAGATCAAACATACATATTTCATTCACAATCATTTATTCCTCTTACTGCTGTAACCAATGTTTTCTTTGGTGCACATGGATGTTGTTTAATGGCAAGGTAAACCAGAGTACGTATGTGTAAAATCCATCAAGCAATGTTTTACCTAACCCAGAGTATATCAAGAGTTGTACAAAAATTTCTTAACCATGGGCTGTACAGTACTTAATTCACCGTGTTGGTTTTTAAGATCAAGACTAATCTCTTAATATTGCCATCCACACTGAAAATGTATTACTACTGTGTACCTATCACCTTCAAGCTTTAGTACAGAAGAAGATTAAAAAATTGGGGAGCCTAAGCAAAAAATAGCATTAAGAAACCTATACAGCACATGTCATTTGCCAAGTTTAGCTTTAAAAGAAATTATTATTTTCTTGCCAACATATTCATTTTATTCTTGAAGTCTGACCAGATAAATCAGCCACCTTCTGTTATGGTAGTTAAGGATACAAGCTTTATACAGTATACCACTTATTATTGTCAGTAACTAACACATTTTGTAGAGCATACTTTTTTATTTTAAATTAATAGTTTAGTGTTTATATCGGGAATGAAAATATATTTGGTTATTGTTTATTGTATTCACTTTTTTATATATATACCCTGTATATATATATATATGCACTGAATTTGAAGCTTGGATTCTTTTTATTATTTTCTTAATAATTGTTTTGTTTTCATCTCCATAGTCTAATTATTGTTTGATCATTAAAAGTTATATTTGAAGGTACAGTGTACAGAAATTATATATATATATATATATATATATATATATATATATATATATATATATATATATATATATATATATATATATATATATATATATATATATATATATATATATATATATATATATATACATAAACACACACACACACAGTGGTCTCTCGGTTAACGAACACAATTTGTTCCAGAAGGTCGTTCGTTAATCAAATCCATTGTTTCAATGGGATATTGGGTAATTGGTTCCAGCTCACCGAAAAGTTCATACAAAGTAAAAACAAAATGCAGTAAAGTACACTTACTTTGAGGTGTGTATGTAGAAGGCTCCTGGTTGATGATGATGATGATGGGAATTAGAAGTGGGGGTGGAGGAGAAGAGAAGGAAGTGGGGATGGAGGAGAAATCACCCCGTGCTTGATGCCGTCATTTCACCAATAAAATTTTAAGTTCACTAAGTGTAATTCAAGATTATTTTCTTTAAATCAACACTGCACTGCACTATATATTGTCAATATGTTAAATAAATTTCAGAATGACCAATAATTATACTGTAAAAATGTAAAAGTACTCTGTTTTCAAGAGACCCACAAGCAAGATGTTTCCTCCACTGAACAGACACACAAACTAACGCCTTGGTGGGTGAGTGAAGTGGCTGATGGGCGCCCTAGAACCGATTACTGTATTGGCGGACTAATCTACCAGCCGATGAGCAAGCCAAAACATGTTGACATGTTTTCATAAGAATTTCGTAAATCAAATTTTTGTTCAAACCCCAGAATGCGACGCCTAGCTTTTTGATCGTTAACCGAATTGAAGATTCTTAAGGAAGGTAATTAGTTAACCGAGGGACCACTGTGTGTGTGTGTATATATATATATATATATATATATATATATATATATATATATATATATATATATATATATATATATATATATATATATATATATATATATATATATATATATATATATATACACACACACAGTGGTCCCTCGGTTAACGAACGGTTCGATTAATGAAATTTCGGTTAACGAATTACCTCCCATAAGGCTCTTCAATTCGGTTAACGAACAAAGCTTCAATTAACATAATCCTTATGAACATCACGTTTTGTTGTGAGCTTCAGCTGATGGGCTAATCTGCCAATTCAGTAATCTGTTCTATGTTTACATACGTTTCCAGTGGAGTAAATATCAAGAAAGTTGTGCTCTTTAATATTTTTGCATTTTTTATATTAAAATTATTAGTCATTTTAACATTTAACATATTGATAATATATGAAGTACAGGGAACTAGTTTTTTGTGCGCCCATCAGACTCTTGACTCAACCAACAGGCGTCAGTTGGGCTCTGTTGACAGTGGAGTGAACATCCATTTTGTTGGTGTCTTGAATATTTTGCATTTTTCATTGAAATTCTTGGTCATTCTGAAATTTAGTTAACATATTGATAATATATAGTGCAATGCAGTGTTGATTTAAATAAAATAATCTTGAATTACACCGAGTGAACTTAAAATTTATTGGTGAAATTACTGCATCAAGCATGGGTCCCCTGAAAGGTGATTTCTCCTCCATCCCCACTTCCTTCTCTTCTCCCTTCTCCTTCACCCCCACTTCTAATTCCCGTCATCATCATCAACCAGGAACCTTCCACAAACACACCTCAAAGTAAGTATACTTTACTGCAATTTTTTTTTTTACTTTGTACAGTACAGGTATGTACTTTTCGGTGAGCTGGAACCAATTACCCAATACTCCATTGAAATAATGGATTCGGTTAACGAACGACCCTCTGGAACAAATTGTGTTCGTTAACCGAGGGACCACTGTATATATATATATATATATATATATATATATATATATATATATATATATATATATATATATATATATATATATATATATATATATATATATATATATATATATATATATATATATATATTCCATTGTTTGCAAGAATAGTGATACTTATTGTACTAAAGAAAAGCAGTACAGTACAGTACCTGTATATCTTTGGGATGCATTATAACTTAGTCAAGTGTAGTTTCACGATGAACAGATTTTCCAGCAGGATATTACTATATGGATATTTGTTCCTTAATGTCCAAGTTCTGTGACTTTCATTCTTGGGAACAAGGCAATCTTATTGTGGTGTATAAAATTTACCAAACAAAACTGATAACATCTTGAAATGCAATCTTGTGTTGTGTTTTTTGGCATCTATTGTGAAAGAGTTAGACAAAAGGATAGCTTTAATATTTTGCGTTTTGGGTGATATCAAAGAATAATCACGAAATTGGGTAATGTTAAGTTATTATATGTAACTTGAATTGTATCACACGGGAGTCAGGTAGACCTGGTTAATTTATTTGACCAACTCAGATCTGGTAGTGTATTCTTGAGACTGCAGCATATTGACTCCTCTTGCCTAGGAGGATGTACAAAAGGAGAATTACATAGTTATAGTGGGTTATATGTTATTCAAAATATTATTTGTGTATAAAAATATTGCTTAAGATCTGATGATTCTCTTCATAATTGATATCCAAGAAAGGTTCAAATCAGTGCCTAGGTTATATTGATTCTCTTACCGTTGATCCTGTACTGTACAGACATTTGTTTCAGAGGAACTTAGATTATGCATCACACAAAATCTTACAAAATTTTACTGCTTTGGGCTCATTTCTAGAAACAGGTAGTGTAAATATTGGCTCATGTTAACAAAATAATACTTTCCCATGAAAATACTCTGGTGTCGAGATGAAATGTTACCAGAGGTGAGCTTTTACTGTTCAAGAAGCATCATTTGAAGTTATAGTATTGATATGATTGGACTTTTTTTTTTCCATTAGAGATTGTGTTAATTTTGCAAATAGTATTTTCATTTCATACTTGTCAATAA